TTAAAAAGCAGAATCCTTCTGGTTCAATTTTACTTATCCCCTAGACATTACCGAAAAAAAAATGAGTGCGATTCACTTTTAATTTCAGATTTATTCACTCTGTCACTACCCGTCCCCTCATCAGGGTTGAAAGCCTTTGGTAAATGTGAAATAGGCGTTATACCTTGCGTGCCATAGACTGTACAGGACGGCAATGGAAGGCGACCTCAGAAAAGACCTCGCGACTAAAGAAGATGAAAGACTGGAAGGAGGCTGCCGTATCATCCGTACCACCAGAGCATTGGTACCCTTGTCTAAAAAGGGACAAATGGGAAGGTTAAACATAGTTTATACAAAGAGAGTCACAAAAAAGATGAGCACACCTGCTAAGTTCAGGTCTCAAATGCAAGGTGGCATAGTCTGCATGCGCCTGTTTGACGCAAAACACGTCCGGATTGATAGCGGCGATATCGCGAACGAGGTTCTCGTGTTCGTCTAATTGCGCTCCGTCTCCTGCCGCCGTATCCTTATCTTTCGCAAAAGGTGTACAAAGAGAAAGCATGACAAAGTGTTAACGCATCGAAAGAGAAAAGATGACTTCTCATAGGAAGAACAGAAATGAGAGAATTGCAACTAAAGTAGAAACTGACATTTTTACCTCTCCAAGCCGGCAGTGTAAACGAAGCCACACAGAAAGTGTCAAGAAGGCGCGGGTCTTGATTCTTCTCCATCGTATCTGTTGCGTTTCCCGTCTCCTGCTCACCTCCGCCACCTCTGCCGAGACCACTTCCACGGGAGTCTGAGCGCGGCACAGGTGAGAGGTGGCGACGCGCACGCTTCGTGCCTGGCACCTCCTCCGTCGTTTTCGTCGGTGTACCATCCGCCTCATGATTATCGCCATTCAGGGCTGTTCGCGGTATTGGCGACCCTTCCGCTGAGATCCACAGACGGTGCGAAGCGCCGATTGGCAATGAATGAGGTGTCAGCGCTACCCGCAGCTCCGACTCGGGCCATGCGGCAAATACTGTGAATGCAGTGGAATTTGTTTACCAACCATTGAGCAGTAAAAAAACAAAGACATTTAAGATAGCAGAAAATCCTACAATACACCAAGTTTGTTGCTAGCATCACATGCGCATAGCACCCCGCTTTTCTCACATGCCAGCAGAGTGCAAAATACATGGTATAGATTCTTCCAGCTTACGATAAACAAATGCAACCATTTGTGTTCCCCAGGACTAGGTGAATTTAGAACGATGCATGCGACTCAGGAGGATCACGCCTGAGTTCCGTTCCAAGAGCCATTGAGCAGAATTAAAAACGATTGATTCGGGTAGCCGTGGCAAGGGAGAGAAATGAGAGAGAACAACTTTGAAAAGACTAATCACACCAACTTTCTTAAGAGACCGTTTTCAGATTCAAATCCAGCCCGATAGTTGGACAGAATTGCAAGACAAACAAACTAAACTAACAAAAAAACCATAGCGATTATGTTCGGGAAAACAAAAGTGTACATGTGAATATACTTGCGAGATGGCACTTGACCTCGGGTTGGTCCGCGAGGTCACACAAAACCGCAATATGTCTTGCCAGCGTGACAAAAGTACACTTACCACTTGCTAATATGCTAGACTCAATAATATCTCATGAATTGTGAGCTAGTAATTCAAGGCACTAGAGAGCACCAAACTAACGCTACTTGCAATAACCAAAGTAAGCATATAATTGCGGAAGTGTAGTTGTAAGGGAAAATCGGAGTGACATCCTATTACACGATTATCAGTCGAATTGGACGGCTCTCCAAAAAGAAGTAGCATATTAAAAATATAGAACTCATAAACCCACGTAAGCCTTGAAATGAACAGCCATGTGGTAAGGAGTTGATCAGATGACATGGTAGTTGAACTTCAGTTTAGATCAACGAACAGAGTTTACCGTTGTGCCTGCCTCCGAGAATCATTTAGCGCATGAGGTTGTAGATACTGAAGTCGACGATCAAGTAAGTGTAAAGTCATGAAAAATAAGTCCAGCCTCT